TCCGTTGTTGCCTGCGGGCCAGCGATCTCCAGCGAGTGGCGCGGGGGATGGTCGCGGCAAGCTGGGCGGTCGTGCTGCTTCTCTTCGGAGTGCAGGTCGGCGCCGCGACGAGAGTGTGACGTGGCCGCGGTGTTCGACTTGCCATGTTCTCGCCTCCTCGCGCCGGAGCTGGCGCGCCGCGGGAGGTGGCGCCGTCGCGGAAAAGCCTGTTCGGCCGCCGGCACTCCGACCTCGCGCGTGAGTCCAGGGGGGCGGCCGCGCAGGGGCGGGTCGACGACTTGGGGGCGGAGCCCAACGTGCTCCGCCGTGGCGGGCCCGGCCGCGACCGCGAGCGGCAGCTGAGGGCGCTGTGGGCGATCGCGGCGCGAGGGCTTTGGCGCGGCGACTCCGGCGCCGGGCGCTGCCCGGAGGTCAGCCAGGCGGGCGATCAGTTGCAGCGGCTGCCGCCCTGCGGCCATGCGAGGGGGGTCGCGGCGGCGACCCAGCAGCTGACCTCCCTTGCAGGGCTTTCGCTCGCGCCCTGGCCAGTTGCGGTGCCAGGCTCGTGCGTCCGCAGGTGTGCGTGCAATTTTTCAGTGAGTATGGGGGCCACTCCGCTGCTCTGCGAGACACAGGCTTCGTCGCCTTCGAACGGGGTCTCCACCGTGGGGCCCAGTGGGGCCTCCCGAAACGGCAGACCCAACAGCTGGTGAGGGGGTGGACTTTGTTTGGGCTTGCGTGGGGCGTTTTCATGGGGGCGCCTTGCAGGGGCGCTGGGCCCTTGCAGCTCCTGAATCAGCTGGGCCCCGTGCTCTCCTTTCGTTTTCGAAGCGGCCAATTTTTGATAGATCTGCCGAATAGGACGCATCTGGCGATTCCGAATGCCGTTCGGATTGGCGGTATTCTTGCAGCGCTCAGTTGCCGCATTTTCGGAGCTCGCGTGCCTCATCCAGCATCCGGCCGCCTGGGAAAATCTCGCCCGATCACGTCTTTGGCTTCTCCAGCGCCCTCGAAAGTCGGCGGCGGCGGTGCATGCAGACATGTGGCAGTTCGGCTTCCCGTGGAAGAAATCGATTCACTTTCTGGGCGATCGTGCTTCTTTTTTGTGCCTCTCGGTTCGGTGCCAGGGCAAATTCTATTCCCGGACAGGGAGAAAACGCTCCTTCATCCATTGGCTGGTTATCGGTGGGGGGTTCAAAACAAAAACCGCCTAATAATACCCGTGCAATTACCTTGGGTGTGGCCCTCGCCTTCTTTGTCGATCGCGCCTACAGTAGGTCAAAAACGATTCCTTAAAGACGGTGTTTTTGAGTTTTGTTGTTGTTGTTCTTGTTGTTGTGGTTGTTGGGGTTGTGGTTGTTGTGGTCGTTGTGGTCGTGGTTGTGGTTGTGGTTGTGGTTGTGGTTGTGGTTGTGGTTGTGGTTGTTGTTGCTGTTGAACAAGGCGGGTTTGAAGGTTGCTCCCCCCGACAACCAGCAACCCAGCACCCCCCCCTCCTGAACGGCCTTCGGCCTCCCCGTTCGGGGTGGGCTACGCCCTGTCCAGGGGGGAGTGTTTCCAACCCTATACGAACCCAGCCCTACCAGGCCGTATGGGGTCTGTGTGGGATCCGATACGAGCGCATCGGATTCCCGAAAGATTCGTAGGATACCCTCGGGGTCTTCAGGGTTCACTGGTTCCCTCGGGATTGCCAGAATTCCTATGGATTCCTCTGATTTTTGACGGGTTTACTACTACTAGTACAACAACAACAACAACTACTACTACTACTACTACTGCTGTTGCCACTACTACTGCTACTACTACTACTACTACTACTACTACTACTACTACTACTACTACTACTGTTGCCACTACTACTACTTCGACTAGTAGTAGTAGTAGTAGTAGTAGTAGTAGTAGTAGTAGTAGTAGTAGTAGTAGTAGTAGTAGTGTAGTAGTAATAGTAGTAATAATAGTAGTCGTAGTAATAGTAGTAGTAGTAGTAGTAGTAGTAGTAGTAGTAGTAGTAGTACTACTACTAATACCAGTACTACTACTATGACGACGACGACTACTACTACTACTACCATTCGTATTATGCGTACTACCACCACTACTAATACTACCAGCACTACTACTGCTACCACTAATACGCCTACTACTATTACCTATTACTATCATTATTTCCACTTCTATTAGTAATACTACGGCTGCTATTTGTTTTGCTAGTACTACTCGCATCGCGAATCGTACTACTATTGCAACAACTACCATTACTACTGCTACTACGACTACTACTACTACTAAAACCGCTACTGCTACTACTACTATCACTAGTTCTAATAATAGGACTACCACTAGTAGTAGGACTAGTAGTAGTAGTAGTAGTAGTAGTAGTACTAGTAGTAGTAGTAGTAGTAGTAGTAGTAGTAGTAGTCGTAGTAGTAGTAGTAGTAGTAGTAGTAGTAGTCGTAGTCGTAGTAGTAGTAGTAGTAGTAGTAGTAGTAGTCGTAGTAGTAGTAGTAGTAGTCGTAGTAGTCGTAGTAGTCGTAGTAGTAGTAGTAGTAGTAGTAGTAGTAGTAGTAGTGGCAGTAGTAGTAGTAGTCGTCGAATAGTACTACTACCACTATTTCGAGTACTACTACTACTACTACCACCACTACTACTACTACTACTACCACTACTACTACTACTACTACTACTACTACCACTACCGCTACCACGATTACCACCACTTCTGGTATTACTCGTACTACCACGACTACTACCACGACGACTACTACTACTACTAGTAATACTAGTTCTACTGGTACTACTTGTACTACCAGTATTATTAAGTTTACTACACCACCGCGACTGCTAGTACTATTCCTACTACTAGTATTGCAAGTACTACTACTAGTACGACCACTGTTACTACCTCAATCAGGACTACCAGTACTACTCGTACTACTCGTACTACTAGTACTGCCAGTACTACTACTACTACTACTACTTCTACTACTACTACTACTACTACTACTACTACTACTACTAGTACATTTAGTAGTACTACCACTGCTGCTGCTGCTGCTACTACTATTACTGCTAATCGCACTACTCGTACTAGTGGTAGGAGTAGTCGTAGTAGTAGTAGTAGTAGTAGTAGTAGTAGTAGTAGTAGTAGTACTAGTAGTACTACTAATAGCAGTAGTAGTAGTAGTAGTAGTAGTAGTAGTAGTAGTAGTAGTAGTAGTAGTAGTATAGTAGTAGTAGTAGCAGTAGTCGTAGTCGTAGTAGTCGTAGTAGTAGTAGTAGTAGTAGTAGTAGTAGTAGTAGTAGTAGTAGTAGTAGTAGTAGTAGTAGTAGTAGTAGTAGTAGTAGTAGTAGTAGTAGTAATCGTAGTAGTAGTAGTAGTAGTAGTAGCAGTAGTAGTAGTAGTAGTAGTAGTAGTAGTAGTAGTAGTCGTAGTAGTAGTAGTAGTAGTAGTAGTAGTAGTAGTATTAGTAGTATTAATATTACTACTAGTGTTACCAGTACTACTTGTGCAACTAGTGATACTAGTAGTAAAACAACCCCACGACTATGAGTACGATTATCAGGACTACTACTACTACTACTACTACAACTACTACTACTACTACTACGACTACCAGTACTACTACTACTATTACTACTGCTACTACTACTACTACTACTACTACTACTACTACTTCTACGACTACTACTACTTCTGCTGAAAAGCCCATGGGATCTAGATAGGGTCTCTATAGGGATCCGAAAGAGCCTATAGGGATCTCTATCGGGTCTCTATAAGAATCCTAAAGAACCCTATAGGGATCCTAAAGGGATCCTGTTGGGATCCTATAGGCCTTGTAGGGTTTCCGTATGAGGCCCTATAGGGTTCCTCTAGACGCTGCAAGGTTTCCGTAGGGGCCCTATAAGGATCCTGTAGGCCCTGCAGGGTTTCCATAAGGGGCCCTCTACGGATCCGATGCGCCCTGCAGGCTTTCCATTAGGGCCCTATAGGGATCCTATACGCCTTGCAAGGTTTCCATCGGGGCCTTATAGGGATTCTATAGGCCCTGCAGGGCCTCCATCGGGATCCTATGGGGAGACTGTTCGGGAGCCTCGCCGGGGCGACTTTCAGAATCCGCTTGGAGCTTCGTCGGGAAAACGTAAGGGGAGCATTTTTTGTTGTTTTCGTTGGGTTGCTCGGTTGCTGGGTTGCTGGGGGGGGTGCTAGCCACGCGTCTTTGTTGGACGAGGCGGTCACAGCGAGGGCACCGGACGCGTCCCTCAGAACCGCTTTGACTTTGTTGTTTTTGTTTTTGTTGTTGTTCTGCTTTGAGATTGCCAAAGCATGTTTGACAAGTTTGCGTAATACACTGCCTTCGTCTCGGACTCGCAATTTGCAGGCTGACCGTCTCAACTTCCTGTCGAATCGTCCGTGCCCGTGCACCCTTCGCTGAAGCTTCATCGGGCATGTCGTGCCCCGGAAGAGGCGTTAGCTGACATCAGGCAGTCTCGTTCTCCTTGCTGTCTTCCTTTTTCTTGTCATCCTCCCCGCCGCCTCCTTTTCGTACTTGCCCTCCTCGTCGTACTTCTTTCGTGGGTCGAGTCCTCGTCTTCTGCATTGCCCCTGTCCTCATCCACACCGTCTTCCCCGTCTCTCTTGTCGCCCTGCTCGTCCCCTCCCTCGTCCTGTTCTTCGTGCTCGTCTTCTTCTTCCTCGCAGGCCTCGTGAGCATCCTGGTCGTCCTCCTCGTCCCCCAAGCCGTCCCCCTCGCCGTACCCCTTCTTGTCATCGTCCTCTCGCATACAGTCAACAACCCTAATAAGGACGCGCGACTTTGCTCAGGATACCCTTGCGTCCTTGCTCTTCCTTGCTCTTGCGTCCTTGTGGTTTTCGTCGTCCGCCGCCCAAAAAATCCCAACGTCGGCTTCCAAGGGTCTTGCGTCCTTACCGCGCGTCCTTATTTGGGACTGTATTCATCCTCGTCTTGCTTGTCCTCTTCCTCCTCCTCGATCTGGGGGGTTTTGGCAAAAAGTCCCTGAAGGCGCTCGCCCGGAAGGTCGGGAAGTTGATGGAGCAGAACGTGCCGATGGAAACGATCGCCCAGGCGTTCCCCTGAGCATGTGCATGCGGAGGGGGGAGACAAGAGCGATAATCATGGGGCGAACACGAGTTGCCACAACCCACCGTGCATGCACAGTGTTTGCCATCGTGGACCCCGAGCTGTGAGGTTGCTACGATTCCGAAGTGAGAGCCACGCGGTGCCGCGGCAGCGAGGTGGCAGCAGGCGGCAACGGGCGGCAACGGGCAGCAGGCGGCAAGGGGCGGCAACTGGCTTGAGCGTGGCGACTCTTCGGGACACCCCCGCAGGCGGCAGCGGCGGGAGATCGGAGGCGACGGGCTGGAATGCGGCGAGCTTCCTGGGCCCCCCCACGCGCCGCAGCGGGTCGGCGACATCGCAGAACGTGACGAATCCCCGGGACACCCATCCAGTTTTTTGGGAGGCGCAGGCGATAGCTCCAGCGCTGTCTGGGAATAGTGGAACGACGCCAGCAGGAACCGTTTCTGAAGAGTAATACGAGTCCCAGTGTCTGAAGGGCTGTGGCCTCTGCCGCCAGCCCCCATGCTGAGCCATCTTGTGGATTCCCCTCAGTAGTCTGGAGGTCTGGAGGTCGCGACCGCCCGCTCCCCCGCTTCCTCCTCCTCGTCCTCCTCTCCCTTTCTTCTTCATTCCCTCGCCTTTTCCGTTTCCCCCCCTCCGCTCGATTCTATGTCTTCTTCTTCCGTTTCCGCTTCAGTATATTTTTTTTTGCTCTCGCTCCTCCTCTTATTCCTTATCCTCCTCCTCCGTCTCTTCCGTCTCCTTCTTCTCTTCCTCTTGCGGCCCAGTTGGCGCCCTTTTGGGGGATTATTTGGGTCTTCTTGGGGGTTTCCTTAGAGTTTTTGCTGCTCTCCTGGGTTGTTTTTGAGGCCCTTGTTGGGACCCTCTTATGATCCTCTCGTGCCGTTATGGGGCTCTCTTGGGTCGTCCTTGGCCTGTCTTGGGGGCCTTTCAGTCAACTTTAGGCTCCTTTTGGGGTTTGTTTGGGGCCCCCAGGGCTGGATGGGGGTCATCATTGAGCCATATATTGCGCTTCCGAAGCCTCAAAAGGCGAGAGCACTGAAACTACAGCCATTTGGTACCTACCCAAGCGACGTACCAGACCCAACTGACACATGCGGCCATTACAATTTGCGATGTTTTCACGGAGGATGGCATGCCACAAAACGTGGTTTATTGTGTAGTGACTGTGGGATGACTACGCGATGTACTCACGGAACAGGTTGGAGTGAGGCAGGATTTTAGGATATGATATGCCTAGAGAGCAGGGGAGAATCACGGGGACGAGAACGAACACGATGACACTATAGAAGAGATCACGGACGGTATGAATGGTATCAGGGTAGGGGTTTGTTTGGGTCTGCGTAGGGCGTCCCTCCGCTGGATCGCCCAGAGGCCCACGAAGGTGGTGTCAGTTTCGTAGTTCGCAGGCCACAGGGGCGGCGAGATCACGTTTGGATGCACGCAGGACACCACTCCGCTGGACCTCCCAGGAGCCCACGAATGTGGTCAGTTTTGCAGTTCGCAGCCCTCCCGAAAGGGCGAGCATTCGGTGGGATCTGCGCTGGACAGCACCCAGCTGGCCCTCCTATGATCCCACGACGTTGGCGACAGTTTCGCGGTTCGCAGCCCCCCAGGGAGGGCGATGACAGCATTGCGCTGGATTTCCCAGGAGCTCACGAAAATGGCGGCAGTTTCGCGATCCCCAGGGACGGCGAGGTCCTATTCTGGTTTGGATAGTGCCGCAGTACGCTGAACTCCCCATGAGCCCACGAATATGGCGACCGTTTCGCCGTTCGCAGTTCCCAGATGGGACGGGGCCTCGTTTGGATCCGTGTACGTAGGGGACCACTCCGCTGGACCTCTCAAGAGCGCACGAAGGTGGCGACAGTTTCGTAGTTCGCAGGCCCCCAGGGACGGGGAGGTCTGGTGCGGACCCACGTGGGACAGCACCCGGCTGGCCCTCCTATGATCCCACGACGGTGGGGGCCAGGCTGCCCCATTTCCAGCCCGTGCGCGCCGGGCCGCGACGCCGACGACGCCTCTCTTCCGCCGCGCTTGGGCGCGCCCGTGCGCGCGGGACGTGGGAGACCAGCGCGTGCCCAAGTGGCTGCAAAAGATTGCCCTGGAGGTTCCCGAGGATGACCCTGGAAGGGTTGCCCTTGGCTTAAGTTGTGCCTGTCCCTCTACAGGGGGAGCATCCAAGAATAGTCAGCAAACAGCCAGGGTACTATGTTTTTGAGTTTTTTCCCAGCCATCCTGTGGTGTTGGGTCCTCGTTTTGAAGAAACGGACCCCGCGTCTCCTCCTCCCGTGCCCCCCCCCCAGTGGGGGTACCACATGCGTCCGCCACACCCGGTACAGCGTTTCGTGGCCCCATAGGGAGCTCCACGTAAGGCCCCAGTGGGGGTACCACATGCGTCCGCCACACCCAGTACAGCGTTTCGTGGCCCCATACGTAGCTCCACGTAAGGCCCCAGTGGGGGTGGCCACATGCGTCCGCCACACCCAGTACAGCGTTTCGTGGCCCCATAGGGAGCTCCATCCGAGGCCCCAGTAGGGGTGGCCACATGCGTCGCCACACCCAGTACAACGTTGCGTGGCCAGTGGGACCGTCCGCATGCGTCCCGTACACCCAGTTTGGCATTCCCACCCACCCAGTACAGCGTTTCGTGACCCCATAGGGAGTTCCTCCGAAGCCTCCAGTGGGACCGTCCGCGTGCGTCCCGCGCACGTAATTTGGCATTTTCACGTACCCAGTACAGCGTTTCGTGGCCCCAGTAGGGAGCTCCACCGACACATCCAGTGGGGCCGCCCACATGCGTCCCTCACACCCAATTTGGCATTTTCACATACCCAGTATAGCGTTTCGTGGCCCCATAGGAAGCTCCACCGAAGCCCCCAGTGGGACCGTCCGCATGCGTCCTGCACACACAATTTGGCATTTTCACCCACCCACTATAGCGTTTCGTGGCCCCATTAGGAGCTCCACCGAAGCCTCCAGTGGGACCGTCCGCATGCGCCCCGGAAGCCCAATTTGGCATTTTCACCCACCCATTACAGCGTTCTTGGCCCCATAGGGAGCTCCACCGAAGCCCCCAGTGGGACCGTCCGCATGCGTCTCGGAAGCCCAATTTGGCATTTTCACCTATCCAGTACAGCGTTTCGTGGCCCCATAGGGAGCTCCACGGAAGCCCCCAGTGGGACCGTCCGCATGCGTCCCGCATACACACACAATTTGGCATTTCCATCCACCCAGTACAGCGTTTCGTGGCCCCATAGGGAGCTTCACCGACGGCCCCAGTACTACCGCCCGCATGCGTTCCTTCCCACCCAGTGCAGCGCTTCGTGGCCCCATAGAGAATTTCACCGAAGAAGATATTCACAATTGCGGTACCCACAACTGCATCTGGTTGGGTCCTTCGCCAGGATGATTTTTGTTATTGTTTTTGATGTTTCGTTCAGAATCCGCCTGTCGGAGGACATGCCCGACCAAACCCTTGGCTCCACGGCGCCTTTGTCATCCTGTGGGGAGGACGGCTAGGTTTCATTCCGATATAGGTAGCGCCGCACTGCGCTGGCCCTCCCATGAACGCACGAAATTGGCGACGGTTTCGCGTTTCACAGCCCCCAGGGGCGGCTAGGTCTCTTTTAGGGAACGGAGAGGAAGACGTGGAATACGAAGGCGTTCAGTGGGGGCGGGGAGAAGGAGGAGGAGGAGGAGGAGGAGGAGGAGGAGGAGGAGGAGGAGGAGGAGGAGGCGGAGGAGGAGGCGGAGGCGGAGGAAGAAGAGGAGGAAGTGGAGGATGAGGAGGAGGAGGAGGAGGAGGAGGAGGAGGAGGAGGAGGAGGAGGAGGAGCAGGTGGAGGAGGATGAGGAGGATGAGGAGCAGCAGGAGGATGAGGAGGAGGAAGAGGAGGAGGAGGAGGAGGAGGAGGAGGAGGAGGAGGCGAAGGTGGATGCGGAGGAGGAGGAGGAGGAGGAGGCGGAGGACCCGTGTAAACGCAAGAGTCATCAACGATGTTGGAACAAACCCTTCCTCCAAGCTCGCTCTTCGTAGGCTCCTACAACGGTTCATCTTCACTGATGGAACTGTCTCGTCGGAAGACAACCGTTTGAAGGTTCTGAAGCATGCCAAAACATTGTTCTCGGGATTCCAATGCCATGGATCAACCTGACTTTTGCGGCTTGACGAGCCTGATGCGTGCCATAACGCCGTTCTGGAGACTTCAACACAAGGCACCCGCATAATTCTGAATCTTTCCAAACCCCATTTCTGGTACGTTGATCATGGGAACTTTAAAAGCCCGGTAAATTTTATAAGAGAAGGCGCGCGGCGATAAGGCGAGAGCCACATGTTGAAAAGGAATCGCCTTCAATCCGTGAAACTCCTGCAACTGTATAAAACGACGGTACGCGGCGCTAATGCGAGAACCACATTTTGAAAAAGAAACCGCCATCAACCCGTGTACCGCTTTCATGTTTTAAAAGCGAGTGTGCGCGGCGCTACGGCGAGACCGACATTTTGAAAACGGGTCGCCACCACTCCGTGACATTTGTGTACTTTTTAAAACGATTGTGCGCGGCGCAAAGGCGAGAGCCACCTGTTGAAAAGGAGCCGCCCGCAATCAGAAAAACTCTCGCGAAGTTTTAACAACGACCGTGCGCGGCGCTAAGGCGAAAGTCACATAGTGAAAACCTCCCGCTCTCCATCTGTGAAACTGTTGTCATTTGTTGTTTAAAAGGGTCATAGATGGAACGGAAGTTTCAGGCTAAACGTCCAGACCGCCCTGAAAATTGGCTTCGGGGTGCGACAGGGAAGGAACATGAATGTAGGAGGAGGAGGATGATGACGAGGAGGAGGCTGAGGAGGAGGAGGGGGGGGAGGAGGAGGAAGAGGAGGAGGAGGGGAAGGTGGAGGAGAAGAGGGCGGAGGCGGAGGAGGAGACGGAGGGAGGAGGAGGGGGGGAGGAAGAGGAGGAGGAGGAGGAGGAGGAGAGATCCAGAGGAGGATTGATGATGATGATGATGATGATGGATGATGATGATGATGATGATGATGATGATGATGATGAATGATGATGATGATGATGATGATATGATGATGATGATGATGAGGAGGAGGAGGATGAGGAGGAGGGAGGAGGAGGAGAGGAGGAGGAGGAGGAGTGAGGGGAGGAGGAGGAGGAGGAGGAGGGAGGAGGAGGAGGGGAGGAGGAGGACGAGGGAGGAGGAGGCGGAGGAGGAATGGGAGGATGAGGAGGAGGAGGAGGAAGAGGAGGAGCAGGAGGAGGAGGATGAGGAGGAGGAGGAGGAGGTGGCGCCCTGCCTGGCTCGGGCACGCCGACCTGGCGCCTCCCCGAGGTGCTGGAGATTGACCCCAGGAGGATGGGAAGGCTGCTGGGGATGGCCATGATGGAGAAGTCGGCCTTCAGGGACCCGCGATCGGGGGACGGGGTGGGGGGTGCGGGAGGTGGGGAGGGATGAGGAGGAGGAAGATGAGGAGGAGGAGGGACGAGGATGAGGAGGAGGAGGAGGAGGAGGATGAGGGGAGGGATGAGGATGCGGAGGGACGAGGGTGAGCATGAGGATGGATCAGAGGGTGATGACGTCGACGACGACAACGAGGGTGATGATGCTGATGATGATGCTGATTCTGATGATGACGCTTATGATGATGCTGCTGATGATGATGAGGATGATGATGGTGATGTTCGTGATGATGATGCTGATGATGCTGATGATGGTGATTATGCTGATTCTGATGATGATGCTAATGTTGGTTGTGGTGGTGATGCTGCTGATGATGCTGATGGCGTTGATGATGTGGATGTCGAGGACGACGACGAAGACGATGACGATAATTCTGTTTACAGTGATCCTGCTCATAACACGGTGTATGAAGACAACGAGGAAGCTGCTGATCATGATGGTGGTGGTGACGGTGATGATGAGGACGACGACTGATGATGATACTAGTATTGATGATGATGATGCTGCTGATGATGATGATGATGGTAGTGGTTGACGACGATGCTGATGATATTGATGCTCCTGCTGCTGATAATGGTGATGATGATGCTGATGATGATGATGACGACGTTGATGCTGATGATGTTTATGCTCCCGCTGCTGACAAGGATGACGACGATGATAATGATGACGATGATGCTGATTATGATCATGATGTGAAAGGTGATATGATGATGGTGATCTGGTGCTGCTGCTG